CTCCAGCCAGGTGCAAGTGGAGGAGTGGGGAATCAAACCCGGTTCTCCCAGATTAGAGTCCGCGCACTCAACCACGACACCAGACTATAGACAGATGGACTCCATCAAGGAAGCCACGGCCCTTAGTTTGCAAGACCTGAACAGGACTGTTTAGGAGAGGGCGTTTTGGAGGTCATTCATTCATAGGGTCGCCATAGGTTGGAACCCTGTGAGGTAGGTTAGGCTGAGATTACGTAACTGGCCTGAGGTCCGTAGCAGAGGGGGGGATTCAAACCTGGGTCTCCCAGATCTTATTCTGTACCACACTGGAGTTGGGAAACGTTTTGGATGCTTTGTGAGTGAATAGCAACTGCAGGTAGTCAGTACCCACAAGTTTGAAATCTCCACCCAAAGGACGGGGATGTATATTGAATGGCTGGCTCTTTCTCAGTTGAAAGCCAGTTTGGCGTAGTGGTTAGGAGTGCAGACTCTAATCTGGGAGAACTGGGTTTGATTCCCTACTCCTCCCCATGCAGCCAGCTGGGTGACCTTGGGTCAGTTACAAGTTCTTACAGAACTATTCTCCCGTGAGCAGTCCGCCAAAGAGCTCTCTCAGCCCCACCTACCTCACAGGGTGTCTGTTGTGGGGAGGGGAAGGGAAAGGAGATCGTAAGCAGCTCTGAGACTCCTTCGGGTAGTGAAGGGCAGGGTATAGCTCCAATCTCTTCTCTTCTTCTTTACGCACCCATGTTTGTTTTGAACCCTTTCCTTCTGGGCCTGTTAAGCTTGGAGCATCGGTTGCTAAGCATTCAGATTTTATGTATTTATTTATACCCCCCTTTCTCTCCAATGGAAGCCCAAAGCAACTTGTACCATTCATCCCAACCCTCCATTTTATCCTCACAACAACCCTGTGAGATAGGTTAAGCTGAGCATACACAAATAGCCCACGGAATGGGAATTCAAACCTTCGTGCCCCAGGTCTTAGTCCAAGACTTCAACCACTACACCAGAGAGGCTGACGGGAGGGACAGGTTGTGGTATCACGGCTGGTGACATAATCAAGAAGTTGAGTGGTTTCCCTACTGTACCCCTGCTAGGCCGTTCTAAGGGGGAAAGGGGGTATTTGGGGAGTTTCCCGTGAGGTGGAAAGGTTGCCGGTTCTCCAGATTCTTCTTCTGTCCCTTTCCCCTCTCAGGGCTCTTTTTGTGGAAAAAGCCCAGCAGGAACTAATTGGCATAATAGGCCACACCCAGCAGCAGAAACTCATTAGCATAGTAGGCCACACCCCTGACTGCACCACTCATTAGCACGTTAGGCCGCACCCCCCATGTTACCAGAAGTGTGGTCATCCAGCCACACCCACCTTTTGCTTCTTATTCTGTTTACCTTGTTTGTTGTCAAAACCCAGGGCCTTTTTTTGTAGCAGGAACTCCTTTGCATGTTAGGCCACACTCCTAATGTAGCCAATCCTAATAAGTTTCTGCTGTTGGGTGTGGCCTGTTATGCTAACGAGTTCCTGCTGGGCGTGGCCAACTTGGAAGCCAGCCGGAACTCCGTTCCTGTGCGTTCCTGCCCAAAAATAGCCCTGCCCCTCTTGTTAAGTGTTCTGTTGACAATTCTTCTGTCCACATCAACAAGGGAGTTTTGGAGGAGAGAGTGGGCAACCTGGTAGATGTGTGGGACCGTAGTGTGTGTATAAATCTGGCAAACATGGGAGGGCTTCTAGTGTCCTGGCCCCACTGGCGGACCTCCTGATGGCACCTGGTACTTTTGGCCACTGTGTGACAGAGTGTTGGACCGGGTGGGCCATTGGCCTGATCCAACACTGGCTTCTCTTACGTTCTTATGTTCTTAAGATGCTCCTGGTCTCCTGCTCTTTTCCGTGGCTACAAAAAGGCTAACACAGCTGCCCATCGGGATCAAGAAGCCATCCTTGCATTCGATCATTTCGACATTGGTCCAGCGTTGCTTCTCTTATGTTCTTATGTTCCAAGATGGCCGCCAAGGGCTGGCGACGGTACTACCAGTGATCGCCAGCAGAGGGGGATCTGGTGCCCTCACTGGAGGGTGGACGGTGCCTGGACTGCTGCTGTGACACCAAACAGTTAATAGGAGGTCAGGTGGCTAATAGTGCCCCGCACCGCCCAGTGATACCATTCCCTGTGTGACGACTCCGGGGCTACATGTTTGTGCAGTGCCGCAGTAACTGCCCCGGTGCTTCTGTTGCCATGTCGTCTCCGGTAGTGGTGCCAGAACCCCTTCCCTACTTGTTGGTGGTCTTTTAATGAGATGCCTCAGGGGGTACAGTTATACCTGCAGACTTCTGAAGTGGCTCCCTCACGTCCAGTGTTCCCTCTAAGCTGAGTCAGTGTGAGCTAGCTCACAGTTTTTTAGCCTCCGGCTCACACATTTTTGCCTTAGCTCATGAAGGATGGGGCTCCAGAGCAAACTAATTTATGCAGTAGCCAAATCACCTGCTCACAACTTTAATGCCAGTAGCTCACAAGGTGCAATTTTTGCTCACAGGACTCCATAGCTTAGAGGGAACATTGCTCACGTCCCCTCGCAATACAGTTGCCCCTGTTCATAGTGAGGTTGGTCATGGCTGCAGACTCAACTTGGTTACGCAAACAGTCCTTCAGCCATCCTATCTGGTGCGCAGGTTGAACGAATTCCCCGTCACTCCTGATCCAAGTTGCGACCCCATCTCAAATGAGACACAGCCAAAATATTGTAAGAGACAAAGCAAAATTTAGGCCCCGGTCACACGGGCCCGGATATCACGGGGGGGAGACGTGGCTGTTTGCCCTGGAGCGAACTACCATGCGGCAGCCGGATCAAACGTCCCGCCCGATGTCCCGTGGTTGGGGAAGGTGCCGATCAGACCTCACTCCTGTGGTGCGGCAAAGAAGCGGCACCACGGGGGGGTGTGTGTGTTGTTTTTTTAACTCAAGTGTTCGCATGCTCCGTTGGGTGCTTGTGCGCACCCGTGGAGACTTGACAAAAAAAAAGTTTTCGCGATGGGACATGGGCGGGCGCCAGATGCCACGAGCTAACAGCGGAAACGTGATCGGAGGTACTAGTTTTTTACAGCGCATCTTCGGAGTGAAGCCTCGGGTGAGCCACAGGAGCTCTACGCTTCCCAGATGTGGCGGTGAGATCACACCCGGAAAATCCGCCTATCTTCCGTCTCTCTAGCGTGCCTAATGCTCCGTGTGACCGGGGCCATATATATATAAAAGCTTTATACAATGGGGGAGTGATGGATAGATATAATTATTAAATCCAGCAGGCAAACTGATTACCGCAACCTCGGGTTAATGAGCTTCTTTGAAACTCGTTCTTCGCAACCCCTCGCATCAAGGATCGAAGGTGTCTTTGCAGAACCGCTTAAGCCGTCTCGTTATCTCCAGAACGTGATGCATCGGGATAATTGGGGGTAGAGAAGAGATTACAGTGCAGGCATTCATGGTATCATCGATCCAGTTCTTGTTACCTTGGCGGCATGCTGATAAGATGTCGGCCATAAGGTGCTACTGAGGTCCAAACTAAGCTTTGTCTTTGTATGTTGGTTAACTTCTGAGCCTTAAATGTTTAGATAAGGTGTTTTTGAAGGGGCTTTTTATTATGTTTCGATGCTGCCCTTGCTCTGCGGAATCCAAGGTGGTACAGATTGTTCCTTCCTATTTTACCCTCACAACAACCCTGTGAGGTAAGCGTAGGCTGAGAGAAAATGACTGGTCTGGGGTGGGAGGTTCATTCCTGAATGGTTTGAACCCAGTTCTCCTACACTGGAAGGTCATTCATTCAGCAATATACCCAGGGATGTTTCTAACCAGCGATTCGGCATCAGCACAGAAAAATCGTTGAATATAGTCCTGGTGGGCAGAATTCGGCCTTGTGAAATTTAGATATCTTTAAAGTTTCTAGCCCCCATGAGAAGATAGACTTGAAAATTTGAGGGCAGCATCTGCTGATGTTTTGGTAGTCAGGTTTCCAGTGTCTGATTTGTCCTCCTCCCAGCGAAACCAGAATAAATGAAGCAAGTAGATTCCATTGAGAGGTTTGAACACTTCTTGGTGCAGAATCTTGACTCTTTGGTAGAAGGATATTTAAAATTTTTTTTGCTCAGACATGTGCAGACCTAAATGTGCCAGATATTGTGATGTGGTAGGAGGGGAGGAAAGGGCAATCCTTCATAATCAGGGACTGACAACTATGGTTATCAGTAACAACTGGAAACCAAATTCTGCTGTTGATGAACCTCCACTGTCAAGATCCCTTGTGAGAACAGGAAGAGCCCTGCTGGATTAGACCAGTGGTCCATCTAGTCCAGCATCCTGTCTCACACAGGGGCCAACGAGTTCCTCTGGAGGGCCAGCAACAGGGCAGAGAGGCTGAGGCCTTCATTAGAACATCAGAAGAGCCCTGCTGGATCAGACCAGTGGCCCATCCAGTCCAGCATCCTGTCTCACACAGGGGCCAACCAGTTCCTCCGGAGGGCCAGCAACAGGGCACAGAGGCCGAGGCCTTCATAAGAACATCAGAAGGGCCCTGCTGGATCAGACCAGTGGTCCACCTAACCCAGCATCCTGTCTCACACAGTGGCCAACCAGTTCCTCAGGGGGGCCAACAACAGGGCGTAGCAGGCTGAGGCCTTTCCATAATGTTGCTTCCCAGCACTGGCATTCAGAGGTTCCCTGTAGTCACCATGGCTAGTAGCCACTGATAGACTTATCCTCCATGAATCTTTCTAATCCCCCTTTAAAGCCCTTGATGCTTGTGGCGGTCATGGTATCCTCTGGCAGTGGATTCCACATTTTAATCATTCGGGTAATCCAGTGGCAACAGATAGGGTGCTTGGATATCCCTTGGTGGCGCAGAAGACAGGAGGGGCTTTCCTTATTGACCCATAGAAGCAGTTTGGCTTGTGGAGATGTGCAGACTCCCGTTAATCGTTGCCACCCGTTACGACGCATCACTCCTGAGGACCATGCTTTGTCTTTTTGTCGTCGTAGAACTGCTTGAGAAGGAGGGACGCCGGCTTGTTGAACCAGCTCCAAGAACTGGACAAGCAAATCAGTGATCTGAGGCTGGACGTTGAAAAAACAGCAGACGAACGGCTGGAGATGGACAGTCGACCCAGCTCAGGTAAGAGTTTGAAGAGGCTTAATTGGGGCCCTTAGAAGTAGGCCCATTTTGGTTGCTTTATAGCTCTGTAGTGCATTCCTAAAAACCCTGACCTGGATAGATCTCAGAAGCTAAGCAGGGTCTGGTTAGTATTTGTCAGATAGGTAGGTAGGTAGGTAGATAGATAGATAAGTATTTGTCAGATAGATAGATAGATAGATAGATAGATAGATAGATATCTGTCAGATAGATAGGTAGGTATTTGTCAGATAGGTATTTGTCAGATAGATAGATAGATAGATAGATAGATAGATAGATATTTGTCAGATAGATAGATAGATAGATAGATAGATAGATATTTGTCAGATAGATAGATATTTGTCAGATAGATAGATAGATAGATAGATAGATAGGTATTTGTCAGATAGATAGGTAGGTAGGTATTTGTCAGATAGATAGGTAGGTAGGTATTTGTCAGATAGATAGATAGATAGATAGATAGATAGATAGATAGATAGATAGGTATTTTTCAGATAGGTAGGTAGGTATTTGTCAGATAGATAGGTAGATAGATAGATAGGTATTTGCCAGATAGATAGGTAGATAGATAGGTATTTGCCAGATAGATAGGTAGGTATTTGTCAGATAGGTATTTGTCAGATAGATAGATAGATAGATAGATAGATAGATAGATAGATAGATAGATATCTGTCAGATAGATAGGTAGGTATTTGTCAGATAGGTATTTGTCAGATAGATAGCTAGATAGATAGATAGATAGATAGATAGATAGATATCTGTCAGATAGATAGGTAGGTATTTGTCAGATAGGTATTTGTCAGATAGATAGCTAGATAGATAGATAGATAGATAGATAGATAGATATTTGTCAGATAGATAGATAGATAGATAGATATTTGTCAGATAGATAGATATTTGTTAGATAGATAGATAGATAGATAGGTATTTGTCAGATAGATAGGTAGGTAGGTATTTGTCAGATAGGTAGGTAGGTAGGTATTTGTCAGATAGATAGATAGATAGATAGATAGATAGATAGATAGGTATTTTTCAGATAGGTAGGTAGGTATTTGTCAGATAGATAGGTAGATAGATAGATAGGTATTTGCCAGATAGATAGGTAGGTATTTGTCAGATAGGTATTTGTCAGATAGATAGATAGATAGATAGATAGATAGATGATAGATATTTGTCAGATAGATAGATAGATAGATATTTGTCAGATAGATAGATAGATAGATATTTGTCAGATAGATAGATAGATAGATAGATAGATAGATATAGATAGATAGATATTTGTCAGATAGGCACGTCTTTAAACGTAAGGCACGTCTTTACAAATATTAAAGACAATATAAACGTGACTGCATTAATAAGTTTAGGTAAATCATTATAACATTATCACATTACCAATAGCACTGTTTCCCTAAAATACATTATCCGCTATTCCCAGTCTGAAAGGAACTGTAAAGACAATTGTGTAAACAAATTCTCTCAACATTTTATATGAACTTAAGATAGCCGGGAAACCATTTAAAATTATTTATAACAAAATAACAAATATAGAAAATTCCATATAACTGTCGAAAACCATGATTATGAAGAATTGGTAACCATTGATTAACCAAATAATCACAATGTAATACTGTATTGCTCTTACAGCTCTACCTATAATAGGTATAAAAAACTTTCCATTCTTAAATTTCACTACTTGGTCTGTTATTTATATGGCTCGTCAATTTCGCCATAATGGCATATTCCAGGGTCTGGATGGGAGACCACTAAGGAAGCCCAGGGTTGCTACGCAGAGGCAGGCAGTGGCAAACCACCGCTGTTTGTCTCCTCTCTTGGAAACCCCATGGGTCACCATAAGTCGGCTGCAACTTGATGGCAAAACAAAAAATGAACTCATTCAATCACGTCTCAGTCTTGCAGAAGGCACTGGGGAGTCATACACATCGTGGGCAGATTCTCTCTTGCCAAATCTGGGGGTGGGGCTGAGCACGGAAGGCGTGGCCAACTCTGCAGATGGAATCTGGAACATTAGCTCCACGTGATGCCCTTTCTGTGCCCAATCCACACTGGGACGGTGCCCAACTGGGTTTCTCCTCCTAACATTACCAGAAAACAAGGTTTTAGAATTGTCCTTGAGGAGAGCTTTGCAGATAAGATCTTGCGCCTCTTTCCAGCATGGTTGAACTTGAGCTTGCTTCATTTCAAGTAGAGCTGAAATCCTTTTGCTTCCAAAAAATTATCCCCTAAAAGCTCTGACGCCACGTGTTCCGCCGAATATTCCTTGCACGTCCGTCATCCGCTCAGCGAATGCTTGACATCCAGCGGCGTTTGATTTCCAGGACTGATACGACAGTCGAAATTTGACAGTAATTTGATCGTTAACATCTGGCGGCAATTAGTATTTGACAGCTCGGTATGCAGCAGTGTTTAATATTTGACAGTTAATTTGCTTCAGAGATCTCCCTTTTTCCAGACCTGCCCAAATTCGAGACACCGGCAGGTCCCAAAACACAAGGAATTTCTAATCTTGAGACCAAAGTTTGCATTCAAAATGGCTGCGTTTTTAATGCTACCTGGAAGTCTTCGGGCACCTGTGTCTCCTCCCCTTCCTTCTCCCCTAAGGTGTGGCTCAGATAGTGAAGACTTCCTGGTTTGCAGCAGGGAATTCTTGTTTTCTGGCAAAGAACAAACTGCGGTTTATAGTTCAGACACGAAGATGAACTACGGTTTGTTATGAATTACGAATGGAGCTGAGGTCCATCAGTGGCTATTAGCCACAAGAGATAGATGAAACACTGTCTGGGGCAGTGATGCTCTGTCTTCTTGGTGCTTGGGGGGCAACAATGGGAGGGCTTCTGGAGTTCGTGCCCTGCTGGTGGGCCTCCTGGTGGCACCTGGGTTTTGGCCGCTGTGTGACACAGAGCGTTGGCCTGGAGGGGCCATTGGCCTGAACCAACATGACTTCTCTTATGTTCTCATGAACTGGGAATTACCGAAGTTGTGAGAGGTGGAGGAGCAGTGGGGAGTGCCCTTAAACATCTCAGGCTAACGTCCGATAAGGACATGATTTGGCTGAATGTAGCCAGTGGGAATCTGACACAAATGTTGGGCTAGATCCAGTCTAAATGGTCCGCTTCCACCGGTTCCCCCTTCCCATTACAGATATGTCATTCATGTCATGGTGAGAGGGGCTGTAGCTCAGGAGTGGAGCATCTGTTTGGTGTATAGAAGGTACCAGGTTCAATCCCTGGTGCCTCCAGTTTAAAAAGTACCAGGTAGTAGATGCTGTGAAAGACCTCAGCTTGAGACCCTGGACAGCAGCTGCCAGTCTGAGTAGGCAATACTTACCTTGATGGAACAGGGGTCTCGTTCAGTATAAAGCAGCTTCATCTTAGGATGTATTAAGAGAAGCATTGTGTCCAGATCACGGGAGGTGGTAGTTCCGCTCTATTCTGCTATGGTCAGGCCCCACCTGGAGTCCTGTGTCCAGTTTTGGGCACCACATTTTAGGAAGGCTGTTGACAAGCTCGAGCATGTCCAGAAGAGGGCAACCAGGATGGTGAGAGGGTTGGAATCCAAGTCTTACGAGGAAAGGCTGAAAGGGCTGGGTATGTTTAGCCTGGGAAAGAGAAGGCTTAGAGGGGACATGATTGCAGTCTTCAAGTATCTGAAGGGCTGTCATGTAGAAGATGGAGCAGATCTATTCTCTCTTGCTCCGGATTGCAAGACTAGATCTAATGGGCGGGAATTACAAGGGAGTCGTTACCGGCTAAATATCAGGAGAAACTTCCTAACTGTCAGAGTGGTTGAGCAGTGAAACAGTCTGCCGCAGGAGGTGGTGGATGCTCCTTCACTGTACGTTTTCAAGCGGAGGCTGGATGGCCATCTTTTGGGTATGTTGTAGATATGTAGGACTATCTTTCAGCTATGCTCCTGCAGAGTGCAGGGGGTTGGACTAGATGACCTGCAAGGTCCCTTCTAACTCTGACATTCTATCAGTCTATGATTCTATGGATTTACTCCTCAGGGTCCCTTATCCACCCAGGAGCAGGATTTTAGTGGGCTGCAGTGTGGGTGGGGAGGCAGGAAAGTTCCATTCTGCTCTTGGAAAGTTTAGTCTAGAACCCAGGGTTGCCAACCTCCAGGTGGAACCTGGATATCTCTTGAGAGCCAGTTTCGCGTAGTGGTTAGGAGCATGGACTCTAATCTGCGAGAACCAGGTTTGATTCCCCACTCCTCCACATGCAATGTTGGGGTGACCTTGGGTCAGTCACAGGTTCTCTCAGTGCTGTTCTTGGAAAAAGCAGTTCTCTCAGATCTCTCTCAGCCCCGCCTACCTCACAGGGTGTCTGTTGTGGGGAGGGGAAGAAGCATCTGAAGCCGCTCTGAGACTCCGAGTGAAGGGCGGGGTATAAACCCAATCTCTTCCTCCTCCTCCTCCTCTTCCTCTTTCTTCTTCTTTTCTTGAAATTACAACAAGAGATAGAGGGATCTCTTACAACAAGACTACAAGGATGAATTCCCCTGGAAAAAATGGTGGATTCCATGGCATTATACTTTGGTAGAATACAAGCCCTTCCTTTCAGCTCAACTATCTATTTATTTATTTTTATTTATTTATCAAACTTATACCACGCCTTCCCCGCAAGTGGGCTCAGGGCGGCTTCCGTAAAAGCATAAATACATTAAAAGACACAATATTTGACCATACAGTAAAACATTATAAATACAAAGTGCTGGCGGCTGATTAAATTAATCTAGATGGTATATTACAGGAATAAATTTCCACTGCCCAGATGTTCTGCGATGTTTTCTGCTCATAGTCAATTAGATGTTAAGACCACGGGCCAGGCTCTGCTGTAACGGCCTGCAGTAGGAGCCTGCAGTAGTGGCGGCCCCTAATTAAATGCCTAGCGAAAGAGCTCTGTCTTACAGGCCCTGCAGAACTGCAAAAGGTCCCGCAGGGCCCTGATCTCCTCCGTGAGCTCGTTCCACCAGGTAGGGGCCGCCACTGAAAAGGCTCCGGCCCTGGTGATAGCTAGCTTGGCCTCCCTCGGGCCAGGGAGGGTCAGCAGAGATAGAGATACTCACCTGGAATATATATTTAGCAAGTTGAAATACTGTGGGGTATTGTCTGTGTCAGCCATGACCTGGATAACCCGGGCTAGCCCCATCTCAGTCAGACCTCGGAAGCTAAGCAAGGTCGGCCCTGGTCACGACGTGGATGAGGCACCGCCCAGGAAGTCCAGGGTCGCCACGCAGAGGCAGGCAACGGCAAACTACCTCTGCCGATCTCTTGCCTTGAAAACCCTACGGGGTCACCAAAAGCCAGCCGTGACTTGACGACCCTTTCGGCCACCACTGCCGGTTCCAGTGAACCCAGTGCTGCCTCTCTCTGTCTCCGGCTGTTTTTTCACCATCGCTTGATGGGACTAGCATCTAAAGCAGAGGTGTCGAACTCATTTTTTTTTTAAATAATAATTTATTTAAAGTAGGATACATAAAAGTTCAAAATAATGGCAATCTTAAGCTTATATCAAAGTAGGTAACATCAAAAGTCAGAAAAAGTACAATTAATTGTTTCAAAAATAGAAGAATATACTTTCCACTCTGAAATCAAAGAATTAGTACAAAGATCATAAAAATTTTATGTGGGTGATAACTAACTTCCATTGTTTGATAAATATCCAATATATGTACATCTAGCGAATCGGTTTTATTTTTGCTGCCAATGTCAGGAGAGGGTTCACATCCAATTCCTAAATTGCTGCCAAGAGGAGGGTAAGAAATCTTCTGTTGCTAAGAATTCCAATATAGGATCCCATTTTTCCATTACAGGTTTTTCTATGGGTTTTTGGGTTAGTCTATTGAGTTTGTTGGTAACAGAGTCCATAAGGAATTGGTCCCACAACTTTTGATACCAGAGTCCCAATGTGGGAGGATTTGGATTTTTCCAACAAGTAGCAATCGCTGTCCATGCAGCATAAATCATAACATCCAAGGTCTGCTTATGTACATGTTTTTCAATATGAGGCGGCCAATGTTTAAGGAAGAGGTTTTCAGGATCCAGTGGGATTTCAAGGCCTATAATTCTGTGTACCATTTGTTTTATTTCTTCCCCAAAATGTGCTATTTTATCGCATTCCCACCAAGAGTGGGCGAACGTGCCTATCTTGTCACAATTTTTCCAACATTTTGGTGAGATTGTGGCATGCATATGGGAAAGTCGTTGAGGAGTCAAGTGCCACCTCGTTAGTATCTTATGTCGGATCTGACATAAACGTCACTTTGTCGGGCCGGACCCGGTGTGCCATAAAATGTAACGCCAGGTACCGGAGACAACAACTTTATAAAGGACACCGGCAAACACAGTGAACAATATTATCTTTTACTCAAAATACAAACAGAAGCAATTGATTCCTTTCAGTGAAAGCAATTGATTTACAGGGGAGCCCACAAAAGCCCCAATAAATATATTTTATCATAATGCAAGACTAGGTTTTTTCCCCCAAGGGATACCGTAAAAGGGGGAGTTACCTTACATTTCCAGGCATACGAGTTGCTTGAGGGCCGCTTCCAGCTTCCGGGCCTTATGTTTGACACCCCTGATCTAAAGGATTATTCTATGTTCTCTCTCTCTTCCTCGCAGGGTTTTACGAGCTAAGTGATGGCGGGGCTTCTGGGTCCCTCTCCAACTCGTCCAACTCCGTTTTCAGCGAGTGTTTATCCAGCTGTCCCTCCAGCGCCTGCTTCTGCAGCCCTTTGGATACATCCTTGAGCAGTTCAGATGGCCGTCCCAAATCGGCAGGTACAGCAGTTACCATGTTCTTGAGCGGCTTTTGTGCATGAAGGGACCCAGGCCGGGTGTGTCGTCTCCAGGGGTCGTTTCGTAGAAAAAGAGCTAGGGGAATTCATTAGCATAACTCATTAGCATATGCCACCCCCCCTGACATCACTGGAAGTGTGTCATAAGGCCACACGCCCCGCCCCCAACAATCCTGGCCGCTGCCGGCCTTGCAGCTCCACTGCTGAGCCCCATGAATGGCCTGGCGGTGGACCTGCAAGGCCGGCGGGAGTGCAAGGAAGCCCCGCGAAGGCCCTCCCTGGCCCCAGGCAGGCAGGGGTGGGGAGAGGCAGGGAGGAAGCAACTTACCCTCCCTCTTCTCCTGCCTCCACCTGGCTGAATGAGGGCCGGAAGCAGGGCAGCTGGAAGCAGGGGGCCGGGCTTCGTCATGTGCCCCGCCCCCCCATACCTCACCCAGGGGAACTGCAATCCCCCGCGATTCCCCCCCAAAATGACCGTCTCCTGAACTTGTGACTCTTCCCGTGCGATGGCAAACATGTGGAGGGGTGCAGATTCCTGGTTCTCGGCAAGTTTGTCCCATGTTCAGAAAAAAAATTGGATTTCTCGTTGTCCTCCTCCTTGTGTCAAAGAGGGTGGCTACATAACCCACTTTATCCGCTCTTTATTTATTTATTTACTTATTTACTGTGTTTATATCCAGCCATTCAACCCAATGGGGACCCAAAACGGTTTATGCCATTCCCTTCTCCTCGATCTATCCTCACAACAACCCTGTGAGGGAGATCAAGATGGATGGATTAGTCTGTCTGTAGCAGTAGAAAAGGTCAAGAGTCCAGTAGCACCTTAACATAAGAACATAAGAACATATGAGACGCCAATGTCACTGCTCACTTCTTCAGATACAGCTAGAATGGGAGTCCGTCTGTCCTATTTACTAGAAAGTGGAGTGATTTCAGATGCCAAAGGTATTTCCGTTATTGGAGATAGTTCATGCTGTTCTGTACATACACAAGGGGTGGAGCTTTGAGTGGACATTTCCATTCCTTTCTTCTTAGGGTCAGTGCGAGGGAACAAAGAAACAAGATGGTGTCCATCAAAACAAGAAAGATGAAGTTAGACTGTTGTTGTTTTCTTTCCATGCCATCCTTTTCCTAATTTTGTAGTAAACGTTTTCGTAGAAGAGGCCGTGACGCATATTTCCACTGTGTTTCATTTACTCTGCTAAATATCCAATATGTAAAGACCACGGACTGGCAAATCAGTTCCCTCAAATGAGATACGTGAGCAGTTGTATTTGAGTGGCCTCTGTCAGCTGAAGTGACCGGGTGAAATGCAATCCTTCTGAAAGCTGACTGCATTTCCGGTCTTTTTTTCTTTCTGAGGTAAATAGTCGTACCTTTAGTAGAAGGCTCAGTGGGCCTGATGGAGAAACAGTGCCACGATTAGAGAGGAAGTGGTATTTGAAACTTATATTATTGAAGTTTTGGTGTGGACGCTCAGGATAGGAGATGGATTGATTCAAGAAAGGAAGTCACAGCCCTCAGTTTGCCAGATGTGAGGGAGGTGGGCAATGCTCCCTCTAAGCTGTGGAGTTTTATGAGCAGAAATTCGACTTTGTGAGCTACCGGCATTAAAGTTGTGAGCGAGCGATTTGGCTCCTGCATCGATTAGTTTGCTCTGGAGCCCTCCTTCCTGAGCAAAGACAAAAATGTGTGAATTGGAGGCTAAAAAACTGTGAGCTAGCTCACACTAACTCAGCTTAGAGGGAACACTGGAGGTGGGTAAGAAATTCCCTCATGTGAGGGGAGAGGAGATGAGAGGACATATTTGAACTCATTAATTCTTAGGGTCGTTGTAAGTTGGAGACAACAAGACACATATAACACAAGCTAAAATGGCAGGCTTCGATCCTGAAATCCTGAAGCTTTGAGGAGAGAGGAAGTGTATATAGCCCTCGAGTTCGAAGGGGCCTTTATAGGTTTTCCAGTTCAATCCCCTGCCTAGCACATTCCTGACCAGCAGTTGTCCAAACTCTTCTTTGAAACCCTCAGCAGGGAAGAGCCCATCCCACCCCCTGGTAATTGGTTCCATAGCCAAACCACTGTTACTATTTCAAAGTTCTTCTGACTGAAATCTACCCCTGAGGAAACTCAAGCCCACGAGGCCTAGCCATGCTGTCTTCCATATGGCAGCCCTTCAGGTATTTGAATAGTGCAAACATGTTCTCACTCCACACCTCAGTCTTTTATCTGTGCACAGATGTCAGGCACTGATTCTGTGTCTGGGGTTAGTAGTTGGATAGGAGTCTGTGGCGTCTATGCAGAGGAAGGCAATGGCAAACCACCTCTGTGCATCTCTTGCCTTGAAAACCCGCTGAGGTGGAACTTCATGGGGTTGCCATCAATGTTCCCTCTAAGCTGTGGAGTCTTGTGAGCAAAAATTCTACTTTGTGAGCTACTGGCATTAAACTTGTGAGCGAGCCATTTGGCTACTGCATAAATTAGTTTGCTCTGGAGCCCTCCTTCCTGAGCTGAGACAAAAGTGTGTGAGTCGGAGGCTAAAAAACTGTGAGCTAGCTCACACTAACTCAGCTTAGAGGGAACACTGGTTGCCATGATTCAGTTGCAAATCGCACACTACCTTTTTAAGCCCTGGGAGGGGTGTGTGTGTCACACATCAGTCCCGAAATCAGAGTTTTCCAGGAAGTTGTACTTGAGTATTTTCCGCATCTGATGTCAGATGTCAGATTTTGTCTTGGCTTTCCCAAGGCAACAGATTCTTAGAACCGTCCCATCAGTTGGGCTTTCTGTAAGAATAGAATCTTCGCTAACTATTTTTTCTTCTCCCGCTGAATTTCAGATCTTATTGGGTGGATGGAATACAACAAGGGAGGTCAACCTGAAGACCAGTCAGTGGGGACTGTCTCTCATTCTCTGTCCACGCGACATTCGAACTCACTGGACGTGATCGCAGAAGTGCACCCAAAATATCAGTGTGACCTGGTGTCCAAAAATGGGAATGACGTGTACCGGTACCCCAGTCCCTTACATGCGGTTGCAGTCCAGAGCCCCATGTTTCTGTTGCCAGCAACGAGTAGCCCCCCAAGAGAAGAGGAAGACAGGAGTATTTGCAACGTTGGTGAGGTCTGTGTTGGATCGGAACTCGATACAAAAACCGGCACTTCCTGTCACCCGTCAGAGTCTCATTCCGCATCCCTTCCCATGGCCACCAAAAAAATGGATGGATACATCTTGAGTCTCGTGCAGAAAAAGATCCCGTCAGTGAGGACTAACAAACCGAGAACGAATCTGAACGCAGACCCTGCCAAAGGAATCTTGAGACACGGAAGCATTTGTGCTCGGCAGGGGGCCAGTGCGGCCCATACCAATGCAGTCCTTGTTAAGAATCCTAGCCAGGTGTTTCCCCGTTCCGCGACAGCCACCCCCGTGTTGGATAATGGCGCCTTTTCTCCCTCCAAGCAGCGTTTGCGAGAAGCAAGCATTGAGAATCTGGAGACCAAAAAGATTCCTTTACCCACAGCCTTTTCACCAAATCCTAACCATGAACTTCAGAGCAAACCCCCCTCATCCAGGACCGTCAAACCTCAAGAGGTTATACGGTGTCCTGTGGTTAGCAAGGGTGATGGGCCCAAGGAAAGAGGCCAAACCTTTGTGACTAAAGAAAGCCCTTGCCGGAACACGCCACCTTTGAAGGAAAACAAAGCCATCCAGATACCCAAAAAGATACCGTTAAAAAACAATGGGGGACAAGCAACTCACTCTGTTTCGCCTCCTCATGAGACCAGGCCATCTTTGGATTTCAAAAGTGAGGGATCATCCTCGCAAAGCCAGGAGGAAGGGTTACTGGTGAACGCCCAGTATGTACCAGCCCAACCACAAACATTCAGACTTCACAAAGGCACCAGGAGTGTCAAAATTCTAAAAAGTTCCATGGTGAAACACAGGTCCCATCTCGTCACGGTCCTGGAAAACAGTCCCCTGGCTGGGCGGGAGAAAGGCAAACCCCCTGGCAAAAAATGCCGTTTCCCCGATGACCTGGATACAAATAAGAAGCTGAAAAAGACAACCTCAAGGGGAAAGAAAAGTGGCCATTTGCCAACGGAGACAAGCCTTTTGAGCAGGCCCCCTGGTGTCCTTAGATCCACAGCGAGACCCCACGGGTACAGCAGAGAACCGGTTGTAGCCAAACCTAAGCACAAGCGAGCTGACTATCGCCGCTGGAAACTGTCAGCGGAGGTGTCTTATGAAGAAGCCCTCAAGAGGGCCAGAAGAAACCGGAGAGAAGGCCTTGGGGTCTACTCACAAGTTACCCATCCCTACGCTAGCCCCTACGCCTATGTTGCTAGTGACTCGGAATATTCGGCTGAGTGCGAATCTCTTTTCCATTCCACTGTAGTAGATACCAGCGAGGACGAAAGGAGTAATTACACCACGAACTGCTTTGGGGATAGTGAGTCAAGCTTGAGCGAGGTCGAGTTTGTCGGCGAAAGCACGACGACCAGTGACTCGGACGAGAGTGGGGGCCTCATCTGGTCCCAGTTCGTCCAAACTCTCCCCATCCAGACAGTCGCCGCTGCTTCGGAGCTCCACGATAACGCGGCCAAAACTTTTGTGAAGATTAAGGCCTCTCATAACCTGAAGAAGAAAATCCTCCGCTTTCGGTCCGGCTCTCTCAAACTCATGACTACTGTCTAAGTGCATACTGGGAATAGTAAATCATGCACACTTCAAGCGTGTGGAGGTAGGGTGGGGAATGTGTGTGTGTGATGGTATATGTGCACAAAAGTTTTGATGGGCACACTCATTTTGGGACGAGGGAGCCACACGAGCAGTGTGGGCTTCAAGTTTGGGGGGGATGTTTGTAGTGGGGCCCCGTAATCTGCAAGTAGAGAGGTGCGTGGGATTCTTCCATGCTGTTTCCAGCCTTCTCAGGTGCCCCACATCAATGGTGCTGGAGCAGTGGGTTCTTTACTGCTCTTGTGTGGGGTGGGAGGAGGAGGGTTGAAATCCCCATCCTCCCCATCCTCTGGAGCTGACCAAACCCACTAGCCCCAACATTAACTTTGCCTTGATCTCCTGGTAGTTCTGGGATATTTCTGCACTGCTATCTCTTTTAGCAATCTGCACGCACAGCCTTGAAATATTTGCAGGTAGCCACAAAGACACGCACACACAAACACATATGAGCAGCTGTTCAAGTATGGCAAGTTGGTGCTTTTGGTCCTAGGTCAATCCACTTGTGGGTTGGCATGCTCATTGGCTGCTTGAAACGGCAGATTGGGTTGATTGTCCACCAGAGATTGTCCTAAATTTAGGGGGAGACGTTCCCCAGGTCCAGACTCTGAGAAGCCGAGCGGGATAGGGAAGTTGTTTCCTTAACGGGATACCGACAAGCACATAACGCAGTGCAGAACTGGAGCCCTAATTGGGGGTACCATCTTAAGACCAAACGGGAACGGCACCTCCTCTGGGTACCCTGGCCTGGAATCTGTTCGGCGGTGGGGAATAACTCTCACGAGTTAAAAGTGTGTTGTCGCGTCACAGCCATCTCAGGGCAACCCCATGAAGTTGGGTTTTTAGGGCAAGAGATGAACAGAGGTGGTTTGCCATTGTGTAGCAACCACGGGTCTTCCTGGGTGGTCTCCCTTCCAGTTACTGTCCGTGGTCAGCCCTGCTTAGATTCTAGTCTCTGTCAAGATTTGACTAGCCTGGGCTACTAAGACCGCTACAGCGCAAGTTGCTAGCTGACAATACACTTACTGTCCTACCTGAACACACAGCATGGCAACATTGGTCACTCGTGACGCGACAAGGGTTGAAAAGAGGAAAAAACTAACGCTCTTCCGGTTTACAAAAGCTTGCTTACTAGTCACCTGGAGGCGACTCTCTCTTTCACCATAAGCAACCACTCGAGTGGTGTAGCCTTGCAGAACGGTTAACAAAAACCTTGGTCTATGCAGATCCTCTCCTTGTTTCTGGTGCTGCTTCCCTGCCTCCCACATGTCTGCAAATATGCCAAAACCAAGCTCCCATGCAGACAGACCCCGAGCAACTGCGTATGCGCTCATGCGCACATCTTACTTAAGCAAAACAAGGTGCTTCTTGTAAATAATTTCCTACATTGTTGGGTGTGGTTTTTTTCCCTTCTAAAAATGCACATATTTAAATCTTACCGTAATGCTTAAACAACATCTCCTGGACCTCTGAATTCGTGGGTGAACGCTAGTGCCTTTTAAAGTGGGAAAATGGAGACCACCATGCTAGTTTTAAGCGAAGGAATAATACCGCCAGTCTTCACCTATTGACAACTTCAAATGTATAGTAATAGATGATTTTGCAAGAAAAGGTCAATAAAACTCTTCTTATGTCGGGAATGGTTTAAAGGACAATCTGGACTTTTACACTGAACCATACATTGTTTTGTACAAATACTTTGGTGCATAAAACTTTGCTGACCTCCACTTGCGGAGGTTGAAACATGCAATTTCCGGACAGAGTCAAAAGAACAACAGGTGACGGATGGGTAGGGATGGGTAGACAGCAGGCGTCCCCAGCATGGTGCCCAAGGGTGCCATGATGTCCGCTAACTCCTTACCTGGTGTCTGCCAAGTGTTTTAGAAAGTGGGTGGGGCTCTTGCCCAGGAGTGCTTCTGATTGGCCACTGGAAGTTTGATTGGCTGTGCAGATCAATGTTGTTGTGGCAGCGGCCATCACCACAGTGTTGACTTTATTGTCCTTTCCCACAGTATATATTTTAATTACCCCCCCTTCTCCACTGTACTTGGGCTTCTTCTATGTTTCCATGGCTCCGCCTTCTATGGCAGCCATTTTGCCACTGGCTTCACCTCCTGCAGCAGCCATTTTGTGGGTGCGCCAACTGGTTTGTATCAGAATTCCAAAACTGCCCACAGACTCGAAAAGGTGGGGGGGATCCCTGGCCTACTGTCTTGGTCTTTTCACTACAACTCTATGGTCTACCAAAGCAAGAGCCCCGATTAAGGATCTCATGTGAAGCTGCCAGGGCGCTGGTCCATTTCCCCCAGAGTTCCAAGGTCTCAGTTGGGAGGTCTTCTCCAGCATGGCCGCCGGAGGTTCTTTGAGGTGGGAATTGGACCTGGGTATTCTAGGTGGCCTCTCTCTGTTCTGTCACAGAGCTGAGGAGACTTAACAATTCTCGCACTAATCTCGTTAGTATTAGGTGTGCCCTGACTCCTTTGCATATTAGGCCACACACCCCTGACGTAGCCAATCCTCCAAGAGCTTACAGAGCTCTTCTTACAGGAGCTACTGTAAGCTCTTGGAGGATTGGCTACATTAGGGGTGTGTCGCTTAATATGCAAATGAGTACCAGCTACAAAAAGAGCCCTGAATTTGAGTAAGCACTATTGGGTGAGAACGAAGTCCAGTGCTAGGGATCATGTTAGTCCTTGTGGTTGAGGAAAGAACCTACAAATGGGGGTCTGGTTTCTCCACAATTTAAGAACGATATAGACAAGCTGGAACGTGTCCAGAGGAGGGCAACGAAGATGGTGAGGGGTCTGGAGACCAAGTCCCACGAGGAAAGGTTGAAGGAGCTGGGGATGTTTAGCCTGGAGAGGAGACGACTGAGAGGTGCTATGAGAACCATCTTCAAGGACTTGAAGGGCTGTCATATCGAGGATGGTACGGAGTTGTTTTCTGTTGCCCCAGAAGGTCAGACCAGAACCAACAGGTTGACATTAAATCAGAAGAGTTTTCGGCTAAATATGAGGAAGCACTTCCTGACAGTTCGAGTGGTTCCTCAGTGGGCTTCCTCGGGAGGTGGTGGGCTCCCCTTTGGAGGTTTTCAAACAGAGGCTAGATGGCCATTGGACAGCAGTGCTGATTCTGTGAACTCAGGCAGATCATGAGAGGGAGGGCAGAAAGGGTTGCCTCAGTGCTTAGTTTTTGTGGGCTTTTCTTACGTGCCCAGGGAAATGCTGATCGGCACTTTAGGGTCAGGAAGCCATTGTTCTCCAGGCCAGTTTGGCTGAAGATCCTGGAGGTTTTTTGTCATCTTCTGGGCATGTAGCAGGGGTCAAAGGGTGTGTGTGTGTGGGGGGAGGTATTTGTGAGTTTCCTGCATTGTGCAGGGGGTTGGACTAGATGACCCTGGAGGTCCCTTCCAACTCCATGATGCTATGATTCCTAGATGCCAGAAAACAACAGCAACCAACAAAATGGCACCGCTCTTAAATTTGGGGGCTGAGTTCAGTGTTTTCAGTTGCAAAGTTCTGAATTTTCCAGTTGCAGAGTTTTGAGGCCCCCTCCCCTTCCTGAAATTCAGTACCCCCCCCCCCCCCTTGGCAAGGCTCATTTCTGGAAAAGATTTTCAGGGCTTGTATTTCCATTGGTGCTTCAAGTCCGTGCCTCGGCACGCGGGAACCCCCCAGTGTGTCATATGAATTGCAAACCATGGAATCTGCTGTTGGTATAGCAGACCGCAAGCACATAAGTCTACCCCTCAGACGCAGGATTACAGAGCTCTGCACATTTGGCCATTTTATATTCCTCCCTCCAAAAGAAAACCCCTAGTTTGCGACCCAAATCAAATACAGAAGGAACCACGGCTTTGCATAATATATTCCGGTTTTAGAAGCTAAGCAAAATATGGTTTTGTTTTTGCTAGACTGATGGGACAGGACTCCCAGTTTGGGACCCTTCTGTTTGCCGTGATGGGCTTGCTGTGGGCATATTACAATTCTTTACGCTTCCATTGTGTGAAGTTTTCAATCTGTATCCTGAAAACTCATGAACTTTAAAAAAAATTTAAAAGAATTTTGTCGGAGAGGTTCTGGAACTCTGTTCTGGCACATTCCCCCAGAAAAAAGGCCCTTTTGCCCCCCGTTCACACGGCGAATTTGCCGCGGGAGAGCCAATAATGCTGGGTGGATTTTCAGGGCGCGATCACACCGCAACATCTGGAAAGCGTAGTGCACCGTGGCCAACCTGTGGCGTGCCACCGAAGCTGCACAGTTAAAATGTATCTCAACAAATGTAATAGCAAATGGTTTGCCATGGGCTGCCGATGGAATCATTCCGTGTGATCGCGCCGGTGTGCGGCTTTCCCCCAGCTGTCGTCCTTGACGTGCACGTGCTGATGGACAAAACCGCGGTGTGCCGCCGTTGCGTGTGATTGCGTTCTGGCGGGTCTAATTGCGCCGGCGCCAAGAGCCATGCCCCCCCCCCCGTGTTATCTGGCCCGTGTGACCGGGGCCATAGTATCCTTGTTCAACACTGTGAATACTATCCACACATTTAAATATGTAAGAACCTCAGAGAAGCCATGTTGGATCAGGCCAATGGCCCATCAAGTCCAACACTCTGTGTCACACAGTGGCCAAAAATACCAGGTGCCATCAGGAGGTCCACCAGTGAGACCAAAACACCAGAAGCCCTCCCACTGTTGCCTCCCCAGCACCAAGAATACAGAGCATCACTGCCTCTGACATAAGAACATAAGAGAAGCCATGTTGGATCAAGCCAATGGTCCATCTAGTCCAACACTATGTCACACAGTGGCCCAAAACCAGGTGCCATCAGGAGGTCCACCAGTGAGACCAGAACACCAGAAGCCCTCCCACTGTTGCCTCCCCAGCACCAAGAATACAGAGCATCACTGCCCCAGAGTGTTCCAGCTATACGTTGTTAGCCACCAATGGACCTCTGCTCCAGATGTTTATCCAACCCCCTCATAAGACCATAAGAGATCTCTGCTCCAGATGTTTATCCAACTCCCTCATAAGAACATGAGACCTCTGCTCCATAGTTTTATCCAATCCCGTCTTGAAGCCGTCCATGCTTGTAGCTGCCACCACGTGTCCATTGCTCGTTGGGTGAAGAAGGACTTCCTTCGATCTGCTCTAAGCCTACTGGGCCTTAATTTCATGGAGTGCCCGCGAGTTCTTGTATTGTGAGAAAGGGAGAAAAGTCCTCCTTTCTCTACCTACTCTCTCCCATGTCAGTCTTCATGTGCTGGGTTATGGCCTGAGAAATCGTGAAAGGGCTTTGCGCAGGGAGTTAATTTCTGCACAGTCGCCATACCGAAAAGGCCTCGATCTTCCACTCTTACTGGTGCTTCACTTCCAGTTGCACCGGATGCTGTAGTGCTCCTCAGCATGGTGACTGCTTCAGGTGGTTGGCGGTCTGGGTCTACATTAGAAGGGAAGACTCAAGTTGTGTAGCACCTTAAAGACCAGCACTGGTATTCAGAAATCTACTACCTCTGAACGTGGAAGTTCCCTTTAGTCACCATGGCTAGTGGCCACCAATAGATCTATCCTCCGTGAATCTATCCAGTCCTATTAAAGTACCTTTTTTGGTGAGTGTGTTGTGTGTGTGTGTGCCTGGAAGTCATGGTTGACATCTGGCGACCCCTAGTGGAGCTTGGATGTTTCAGAGAGGTGGCTTGCTGTTGCCTGCCTCTGCCTCCCAGCCCTGGTATTCCTTTGGAGGTCATAAGAACATAAGAGATGCCAATGTTGGATCAGGCCAAAGGCCCATCCAGTCCCACACTCTGTAT